GAGCACAAAGGAAAGAAGGGTGTTTGGTGAACCTTGCCAACTTTTAAGTCTTTTGTGTGCGCTGGACCGCAACTCCCAGAATTCTCTCCGCCGGCTGCAGCATTCTGGGAAGTTGAAGTCTGACGGCCCCACGTTGGGCAGATGGAGAAGGTTGTCTTGATTGTCGGCAGGAAATTATTTTCCCCTCCTTATTCCCTGTTTGTGGTTCTTCCAAGGGACCCCCCCACACACACACACAACTCAGGTTGCAAAGTTGTAGTTGTTGCTAGGTTCGTGAGTTGCCTCCTCCAGGGGTGGGAATGGGCGTGGCCTAGTCAAGCCTCGGATTCATTCACCGAACCAGCCGTAAAGTTAGCTACTGGTTCGTTACCGGTTTGCCTGAACCGGGGCAAACTGGTATCTGCCCACCCTTGGCTTGGACCTTGAGCAGCTCCGGATTCTGTTCTTGTTCTGGGAAAGATTTGATTGGAGCTTGAGGTGGAAATCCTTCAGCAAGCCCTTGGTGCACAACCGAGGAAACTGGGGAAGAAGAAGAATTCCTCCAGACACAAAGGTTTTGAAAACGGGAAGAGCAGAACTCATTTATGCATTCCTTCCTTCCTTCCTTCCTTCCTTCCTTCCTTCCTTCCTTCCTTCCTTCCTTCCTCCCTCCCTCCTTCCCTCCCTCCTTCCTTCCTTCCTTCCTTCCTTCCTTCCTTCCTTCCTTCCTTACTTCATTTAATTTTTAATGGTTTCTAGAGACAATTCATTCGTTATATTTTTATCCTGCTGGAGACAATACTTCATATATTCATTTGTTTGTTCGTTCATTCATTAATTCATTCATTGGGCTTTTATTCCACAGAAGACCACAAATATATTAGTCTCTAATAGTCTCATTAGAGACAGTTTGTTTGTTTGTTTGTTCGTTCATTCATTTATCCCCCAGGAGACAATTATTGCTCATGTATTGTTCATTCATTTATTCATTTAAAAAAAGATTATTATTTTATTTTCCAAATCACACATCTCTCTTTACATTGTTAACATATTGTGTCATAGATATTACATATATTTACATTTATTTCTTCTATACATTAATCCTTATTCCTATGTTCTATCCACATACCATCTATCCCATACCGCACAGTATTCTGATTCCTCCTTTTCTTTTAGTTCTATTGTAAGTTTGTCCATCTCGGCACATTCTAATATTTTTTGTATTAACATCTCTTCAGACGGTATATTTTCCAATTTCCAACCCTGCGCAAAAACTCTCCTTGCAGCGATTCTTATGATGGATTGGATTTGTTTGCTAAATTTCCTTTTAATTATGCCCAGTAGGAATACTTCGGGTTTAAGTTCTCTTTGATGCTCTGTTTACCTCCTGCACCCATCTTTTGTATTTTCATCCAATATTTTCTGGCTTTGGGGCATTGCCACCACATATGAAAGAACGTTCCATCTTTCTGCTTGCATTTCCAGAACTCTGATTTCCTCTTTGGGTACATTTTTGCCAATCTTGCAAATATCCTGCAGGAGACAATAGCTCATATATATATTTGTTCATTCATTCATTTAATTTTTAATGGTCTTATTAGAGACCATTTGCTTGTTTGTTCATTCATTCATTGGATTGTTTATCCTTCAGGAGTCAATAGCTCATGTATATATTTGTTCATTCATTCATTTAATTTTTAATGGTCTCATTGGAGAGCTGTCAACTCATAAAATATTTCCCTGGTCTTTTAGAGTTGCCAACAGAAAGGGAGCGGGGAGCAGTGTAGCAGCTTCCAAAACTGAAACTGCATTCCATACATGTTTTCATAGATGGTTTCCAGGTGACTGTCTGTTGTCCGCCCATCACCCCAAAACTGATGGGGGTACAGAGAGTGCTGTCTTAGAGCAGTACCTTCTGTCAACTCATAAAATACTTCTACAATCTTAGTTGCCAACCGAAAAGGAGGGGGGAGCAGTGCAGCAGCTTGGAAACAGAAAGTGCATTCCATCAATAGTTTTTCAGAGATGGTAACAAGTGACCGAAGTTTCTGCCATGCAAAATTCTAACTGGAGAGCATGATTGATGACTCTGGGCTATGGATGTGTCCCATTGGAGGATATGAATTACGATACATCCGGCGGGGGGGGAGGGGAAACCAGGGTCAAGGGTGACAAGGAATGATGTGCCTCAGAGTCAGCTACACCCAGGCAGCACCGGCATGTCTACACCTAATAAATCTTCTTTAAGCTTTAAAAATCTGGCTAAGGACTCATGATTTAAATGGGGGTAACTACCGGAGCCCTGACAAGAGTGTTCTTTCATTCATTGGATTGTTTATCCCCAGGGTCAGCAACCTGTGGCTCTAGAGCCACATGTGGCTCTTTCATCCCTCTGCTGCGGCTCCCTATCGCCGGTCGGCTCCACAATTGATAGGGCATTCCGTTAAGACAGGTAGAGGAAAAAGGACGCCGTGCTAGGAGGAGACTCTATGGAGTGGGGGAACTGGACTTTCGGTCAGCTCCAGAATTGAACCGGGAGAGGGGAGCTTCCGGTAAGGACTTTTGTGGCTCTTTGTGAGTGATTAAGGTTGCCGACCCCTGGTTTATCCTGCAGAAGACAGGATACGTGACGACTTAATGACGGCAACGGACTGGCTCCATTACAATCGTTGTTGAAGGACTTCCTGTACAAATTACCGTTCATAAAAGACGACGGATCATCCCGGGCGTACGACCATCCTTTCTGCTGCTAAGCAAGACCGTTCATAAGCGGGTTTGGCCTCCGTTTTATGACCCAGCTGGGCCCCCCTGTTCTTTAAGCGAATCATTCCGGTGGGGAAGTTCATCCCCCACGGTCGTTAAGCGAAATCGGTGGATGATGTTTTGTCGGAAGGTCACAAATCTCCTGACCCTAGACCCTAGACCCGTCGTAAACACAAGTCAGTCGGAACTTGGACCCGGGGCGATGGGCGTTATGTGTGAACAATGGGCCTAAGTCCCTTTTGTCCCTGCCAATAAGCTGACGGTTGTAGATCGAGGGCTTTCTGTACGCCCTCCTTTGGTGCTGGGATGTTGTCACTTTGAATGGTCACTAAACAAATTGTCGTAAATCAAGGATTGCCTGCCGTGGATACACTGAGGCTGGTCTCTCCTCTCACACTGTTTCTTGATTTTCAAATCTTTCCTAGAGAATGCAGACACAATTCTCTTGCTTTCCTGAAGGCGTTTTATTTTATTACTAGCTCAATACCTGTGCTTTGCTATCAGTGTGTAAGAGAGTTGAGGGCTGTTTGGAAACTGAAACCGTATTTGATGGGTGAGCAAGAAGGAGACAGCAAGGAGCCTGGGCATGGCTTAGCTCAACTGTTCTGTACTAAAGCTGCTGGTGCTCTGAAACTGAAACTCCTCTGCTTGTGTTTTGCATTGGGAACAGATTTCTTTTCAGGTGGGGAGGGGGAGTAGAACTCCTTAGCATCAGAGCATGTTAATAATAATAATAATAATATAGGAAATACTAATGCTCTGATGGTCATTTTGAAAAATCCTTTCTTCGTGAGCCCCTAGAAGCCAAGAGGAACATCCGGGCCAAATGTCAAGTTTCTAGGCTTGACGGTTCTGGAGATTTTGTGATGATGCGTGAGGGGTATTTCGCTTTTTGATTGATTTGATTGTGAAAATTTCTCTTTTCTTCCCTCCCGCAGGAACTGGATCATTTCTGTCTGCTCAGAGATGTTCTCCCTGAATTCATGTAGAAGAGGTAAGAGGTCAGTCGAGCCGGGAGCAGAAGGGCCTGGAGGGGAAAAAGCCTTGGGCTCACAGAACCTTCAAATAACAGAAGGGACCTCGGAGGTCATCTAATCCAACCTCCTGCTCAAGCGGGAGACCCTTATAGAATCATGGAATGACAGAGGTGGAAAGGACCTTGAAGGTCATCTAGCCCAACCCCCTGCTCAAGCAGGAGGCCTTTACTGAATCATGGAATAATAGACATGGAAGGGACTTCAGAGGTCATCTTATCAAGCCCCCTGCTCAATCAGGAGACTCTTGCAGAATAACAAGAGTTGGAAGGGACCTCAGAGGTCATCTAGTCCAACCCTCTGCTCGAGCAAGAGATGCTTACAGAATAACAGTGTTGGAAAGGACCTTGGAGGTCTTCTAGTCCAACCCCCTATTCAAGCAGGAGACCCTTACAGAATTGCAGAATAACAAGTATTGGAAGGGACCTCAGTAGTCATCTAGTCCAGCCGCCTGCTCAATCAGGAGACCTTTACAGAATAAATAAGAGTTGGAAGAGACCTCGGAGGTCATCTAGTCCAACCCTCTGCTCAAGCAGAAGACCCTTACAGAATCATGGAATAAGAGTTGGAAAGGACCTTGGAAGTCATCTAGTCCAACCATCTGCTCGAGCAGAACATTGTTACAGAATCATGGAATAACAAGAGTTGGAAGGGACCTCAGAGGTCTTCTAATCTAACCCCCTGCTTGACCTGGAGACCCTTAGAGAATTGGTGCTCTAGGTGGTTTTCTTGCAGACGTCTCGTGACCCAACTAGGGAATATCATCAGTTTCTGGAGGGAGGAAGAGGGAGGGGGGGAAATCCCATAGCTTCGTTTCTGCGCCTGCGCAGTGGCGGCAGGTACTGCGGCTCTTGCAGCGAAAAGCCTGTTCTATCTCTCATCTCTTCCGCCTGGCGCGGAAGCTCTGGCCTCGCTCTCTTTCCTCTGTCTTCCCGCCCTCGGCCTGGCGTCGCAAGGGGTCGCTCCGTCTCCTCGCCGCTGCGGACGCTCTAGCCTCGCTTCTCGCTTCCCTCTGCCTTTCCGCTGTTCGCCTGGCGCCACGCGGGGGCGTTTCCCTCTCATCGCCGCCGCGGACGCTGTTCTCCGCGCTCCCCCTCGCGGAGCCGCTCCTTTTCCTCGCAGACGCTCTGGCCTCGGTCTCTCTCGTCCTCCTCCCCGCCGTTCCGCATTCGACCTCGCGCCGCGCGGGGGCGCTCGCGACTCGTCTCTCTCTCTTTCCCCCCCCCCCTTCCCGCGGACGCTCTGGCCTTTCCATCTCGCAGTTTCCCCGGCTCTCCCTAATTCCGCATGGCGGTCCCTTGCCGGCTTTTGCGGGGTCTCTTTCGGGGGGGAAGCTTCACGGGAACCCCCGGCTTGGTGGGGCCCTGGCGGTCTCGCTGCTACACCCGCGTCGCCGGACCGGAGGAAGCGGAGGAAGGCGGCCGTGACGGAGAGATGGGCCGGGAGGGCGAGGAAGGCGCGCTCTTGCGGATCGCGCCACCCAAGCTGCCTCGGGGTAAATGGGGAGGGGGTCTCTGGGGAAGGACGGGGGGGGGGGGGGGGGGGGGAAATAGGGGGGGGGGGGGGGGTGGGGGGGGGGAGGGGGGGGGGGGGGGGGGGGGGGGGGGGGGGGGAGCTGCATCCTGGGGTAAAAAAGGGATGCCCATCCTTTTGGGGCCATGATCAGGGGGAATTGAGCCCCCACTTTGTGGATCAGGATGTGGGGAGAATTGTGCCCTAGGCTGCCCTGTGGGGTCAATGGGAGGAGGGGTCCCAAGCCACCCCTTTTGGCTGAGATCAGGGTGGGGGGATTTAGACCCACATTTCGGGTGTGTGTGGGGCTTATCGGCCAGCCGGGAATGGCGGGGACTGCGGGTGCCCTTTGGCCCTTCACCTTCTGGAACCTCGGCCCCAGACTGTGGGGGGTGGGGGGCTTACCAGACTGTGACCTTCAAACTCCAGAGGTGGGTATTCAGCAGGTTCTGATCAGTTCTGGAGAACCAGTAGTGGAGATTTTGAGTAGTTTGGAGAACCGGCCAATACCCCCTCGGACTGGAGATTTTACAGTATCCTTCCCCTGCCACGCCCACCAAGCCACGCCCACAGAACCGGTAGTAAAAATAATAATGAATCCCACCACTGTCAAATCCCCCTCCCTCCTAACACTGATAATATTCCCTAGTTGGGTCATGAGATGTCTGCAAGAAAACCACCCAACTCAGAACCCAACACGCCACAGCTCTCCTCTCCTTCCTTCCTTCTTCCACCACTGATGATCTTACCTAGTTGGGTCATGAGACATTTGCAAGGAAACTACCAAGTTCAGAGAGCCCCAAAGAGCCTTCCTTCCTTCCTTCCTTCCTTCCTTCCTTCCTTCCTTCCTTCCTTCCTTTTCCTTCCTTCCTGCCTTCCTGCCTTCCTGCCTGCCTTCCTTCCTTCCTTCCTTCCTTCCTTCCTTCCTTCCTTCCTTCCTTCCTTCCTTCCTTCCTTTTCCTTCCTTCCTTCCTTCCTTCCTTCCTTCCTTTTCCTTCCTTCCAGCACTGATGACGTTCCCTAGTTGGGTCATGAAACATCTGCAGGAAAACTACCCAGCTCAGAGAGCACCCAGGATGCCACAGCTCTCCTATCCTCTCCTTCCTTCCATCTTTCCTTCTCCCAGCACTTATGATCTTACCTAGTTGGGTCATGAGACATCTACAAGAAAGCTCCCCAGCTCAGGACTTCCGGTTTGCAGGGCTTCAGCAACAGACAGAAATCCGTGATCGTGCACGGTTTCTGTCTGGGCTCGCCACTGGAGCGCCCCGAGCTGGCTGGTTTCGGGGCTAAGCCACCCCGTAGAGGTGGTGAAGAGGGGGAAGACCACCAGCAGGGTCGAGGAAAGCCACATCTCTCCTCCTCAGCTGGCCATTACTCCCTTTCCCGAAGGTGGTTGCAGCGGTGGTCAGAAATGGCCACCACAAAGAAGAACTCGATCAGAAAAGAATGTACAGAAGGAAGATAAGTGAAAGTTTTGGCTGACCGGGTTAAATTGTAAAAGCAACAACCAAGGTACCCTGGAATTTAAACTTACAAAAAATAACATCGCTCCCAAAGAAGAGTTGGAAGCAGCGAAGGAAAGTGAAAAGGGAAAGGTTTGGCTTTTTTCCCCCTTCTCTCTCCTTCCCTATACTGACAACTAAGAAACTTAAATAAGAAATCGGAAAAATCCATTTTGACATCAATAGGCAATTAAGCTGAAAATAAAACAAAATGCCAAAGGGATAATAAAGATTTCTGGACATTAAAAACTTTCTTTTTCATAAGCAGGAAGGGAGAGAAAAAGAATAAGGGAAGGATCTGGAAGAGGGAGGAGACTGCCTGGAATTAAAAAGAATCTATAGTAAAACTTCAACAAGACTTCTCAAAGATACATTTTAACTGAAACTTTGCAACTAAATAGTAACCCCAGGAAGAGAAAGTGAAAAAAAAGAGCAAAAAAGAAACAGCTTGCATGTATTTGGATTATTTGGTGATCTTTGGATTCTTGGTTATTATATTTGAATGACTAAAATCAATCGGGTGGTTGTTTAAAAATTTATACAATGGCACCACTTCTGGATGAATTATAAATGGAACTTAAAAAGTACAAAGATGCACAAGAAGGGAAGGGTTCTTTTGGCTTCGTTTTTCAATTCTTAGAAATGGAGATTTGGAACTATGAGAAACAAGAAGAAACGACTGCAAAACAAGAAGACTGGGACAAAGAAGAAGCCATCTTTAATGAACAAGCAATTTTATGTGGGGAAGAAAAAGGAAAGGGGGGAAAGAGAATGGAGAATTTAAGACTTAAAAAAAACAACCAAAGAAAAGAAAAATAATTCAAAAAATAAGTATAATACTGGAAAGCAACAGAAAAGGGGAATACAGAAGAGAGAAATAGAGGTAGAGAGACGAGGGGGTAAAAAGGAGAGAGAGAAGAAGAAAGGGAAGAAAGAAAGGAAAAGAAGTTACAAAGGACCGGAGCAAGATATAGAGAAACAGGACCTATTTAGAGATAATGGGTGAAAATCTAACTGAAAAAGGGATTCTGTAAAGGTACATAATATTGTATTGTTATATTAGTAATAGAAATAACTTTAGAAACTTGGAAACAACGTATGATTAAAATGAGGGATAAAATAGTGTAATTTAGTGAAATGTTTGTGAATAAAATAAGTGAAATAAAATAAATGAGAAAATTGAAGTAAGAAGGGAATATTAATATTAATGATAGAATTGACTTGGAATGGAATGTTGTTTTAATTATATACATTTATAATTTTTTTCTTTTTTTAAGAATACGGTGTGTATTTTAAGAATGTACCAAGCAGAATCCGAATGGAAGTTATGTATTATATTGAATGTTACAACTTTAGGGAAAAGATATAAAGGCGTCATACTCCAATCAGTAACTACAGGAGAAATTTTGTTTAATGAGAAAAGATAATAGATAATTGAAACAGGACAGACAAAAAATATAAATACAATTATTTGAATTGAGATGAGATAATTAAAATTGAGAAAATTAAAAGAGGGGAGAAGCTATGCAGAAAACGTAAAATAGTAATAAGATATGGAATAGAATATAAAAATGAGCATGAACCTGAATTTGTGTCTGAACGAAGAAATGTAACCCGGGATTATGCTGCTTTCAAAAAAAGATGTTTTATTTGTATTTTTTTTCTTTTTGTGAAAACTCAAATAAAATTTACAAAAAAAAAAAAAGAAAGAAAGCTCCCCAGCTCAGAGAGCACTAAGGACCCCTTCCTCTTCACAAACACCCTCCCACTAGCCCTGATGATGTTCCCTAATTGGGTCACAAAATGTCCGCAAGTTAAACTCCCCCCCTACAACCTTCGAGACCACCCAGTGCCCCTCAAGTTAGTTCACCCTTGCTTAACCTAAGACGGGTAGGCAACCCGCAGCTCTAGAGCCACATGTGGCTCTTTCCTCCCTCTGCTGCGGCTCTCTGTTGCTGGTTGGCTCCACAATTGATAGGGCGTTCGGTTAGGAGAGGTAGACGAAAAAGGACGCCGTGCTAGGAGGATACTGTATGGTAGGGAACCGGACTTCCGATTGGCTCCAGAATTGAATGGGGGGCTTCCGGTTAGGACTTCTGTGACTCTTGAGTGTTTAAGGTTGCTGACCCCTGACCTAGGACATCCTGAGTCTTCAGCAGCCTGTTTCAACTTCCTGACCGTTGGAAGATCGCGGTGGCGTCCCGAGAAAATACGATGCAGTTGTGTTCCTGTTCAACAGGGTTGTCGGGTAGAACTCACAACCCCTCTTGTGTCCTCTTTTTACGGCAGAAACCAGAGATTTGCTGAAGGAATTCCCGCAGCCGAAAAACCTTCTCAACAGCGTCATTGGACGCGCCCTCGGGATCTCCCATGCCAGAGACAAATTAATCTACATCCATTCCAATGGGCCACGAAAAAAGGTAATTTTTGTTAAAGAAAAATTCAAATTGTTTCTTTTTTTCTTTTAAAAAAAGAAAATTGAACCAGGATCCAAAAACCCTGGCTCAGTTTCCTACGTGCTAAACCCAAGAATCGAGGTAGTCTTTGACTTACGACGGCTCGCTTAACAACCAAAGGTAATGGGGGGAAAATATCAACTGTGGGTTGTTTTTTAAAACTTCGGTGTTCCTGAAGGTGGTGGTATCGAAATTCTGACGTTTAGTGTCTGACTCGACTTTACAACTGTCGTAGCGTCCCGCAATCCCCGTTTTTCGACCTCCCGATGAACCAAATCCCCAGGGATAAAAGCCAGCTTCACCTTCCTGGCCTCGTTTCAGGGCAGTCCTCAACGTACGATTGTAATGGCCCTAATTAAAGCATTATTCTTGAGCCAAACCACTTTCTGTGACGACTTAACAGCCACAATGGGGAGCTTCCGCCCCGGTCGTAAGTGGAGGACGAACGGTTCAAACCTTCCTCTTGCTTCCCCCCACCCTTGCAGAAAGTCACGCTCCTCATCAAGTGGCCCAAGAATGTGGAAGTGGAAGGCTACGGGACCAAGAAGATTGACGCCGAGAGACAAGCGGCTGCCGCTGCTTGCCAGCTCTTCAAGGTGGGAATTCCCGGTTGCGGCGGGTTTCACAGGCACCACCCCTTTTGGGACGGGTCAAGGTTTTTCCTTTTAGCGGGACTCGAAAGCCACGGGGACGGCTAGCAACAGAAAGGGCCACCATTGGGTAGTACCATTTCCTCGCAGATGTCTCGTGACCCGACTAGGGAACGCCATCTGTGTTAGGAGGAGGGGGAGAAGACTGCGTAGTTTGTTAAGGAAACTGCCAAGAAACCCCATAGTCATCCTCTTCCTCCTCCTCCTCGCAATCCTTCCCCCTTTCTGATTGATGATGTTATCTCTACCTAGCTTGTCCTCCGTTGTGCTGTCCAACCTAATTTCTTCCTTCGTCCCTTTTTACTCCCGACTTTCTTTTTCCTTCCTTCCTACTCCCCTCTTCCTTCCTTCCTTCCTTCCTTCCTTCCTTCCTTCCTTC